ATTTCTAGTAGGGACCTCCAAACTGAACAGGAGAACACTCTCAACAAGGCGAAAGGCCGCGCAGAAATCCAATCATTTTTACCCATTATTTTTAACGATAACAAAGCACTCCCAAACCGGACGGGTAAAAGGTCAGAATAGCAAGAGTCACAAAGTCGACTGGGTCCTGAGGTAGACTTCCACGAGTGGGTTTCCAGAACCTCTTTCACAACCTATGTCACCTGGAAAAGTGACTTATGAGAAGGCAGTGGTCAAAGCAGAGAAACGTGTAGCTTTGGAGGTGCTATTACCAAACCGCAGAAGGACGGAATGAATTACTCGAAGAGAGTCCCAGAAAAATTACGGAAGATCTCTCTGTTTGTCTTTATCAGTGAAAATTTGCTAGGCAAAAGAGGGCCATTGAGAAAAGACAAACTGCTGACCAACCTAGAGCATCAAGAAATGACACGACAGCGTGAATTTTGCTTCCTGCATAGCACGATATTAAAGTCAATAAAGTCCCCAACATAAAAACTAACGGAAGTAAAATGTTGGTAATTGATTGAAATCTTGCAAGCAGCAGAGAATATCGACTTATCCTGGTAAGAAATAGCTTTTCCGACGAAACACCACCAGATTTACCAAAAAACCAGAAAGTCTGATTCACAACGCGATGATGTTCTCAAGGGATATCAGAATACAGGTTCCTCTGAACATGGACTTCACGATGAACGTCCGCAATTTGAAAGTAATAAGTAACGAGGGCGTGGGTATAAAATGGAGAAAAGTCAGGAACCTGCAGAAACACAAGGAATACAAATGCTGTGGAATGCTGGAACTCCAAAGCGTACAGTAAGACAGAATGAAAGAAACCACGAGGAAACGTTACGAGAAAGGAATTCGCCATACTTTGAAGAGAGAACGTTATCAGAGCCATCAAACAGTATGCAGTACTAGAACTCACACTCAGAAATGGTCGACTAGATCAACGGCGAACAACGAGAAAAACACATAAGGAAGATGATAAATTCGCACGGACTTCAACACCGATGAACTGACTCGGAAAGTCTGCATACATCAGGAAGGAGGCGAGGAAAAAAGAGGCGGTATATTCAGTACACGTTGGAAGGAGAGGAGGTAGTTCTGTTGGAATATAAATAAAATTACGCAGAACAACGAGTCATGACAGCCGCCATACTTAGCAGATATTGAGAGGCAGCAAGAGCGATGGTCGAGTGTGCTGTTGCCCGTAAAAGGTCCTGTACGGTACTGCACCATACAGCTCGGAAACGAAGTATCTTCACCTTCAGTACCTCTGTAAACTATCGAATGACATAAGCATCGAATAAACGTTTCAATAGCTGACAGGTATTGAACTTAAAGGCTGGAGGCGGTCGATCTTCATCGCGATGCTCGGCTACAGTCATGAGTAGTTGGCCGTTACGGGAAACCTTCAAAGCCGTGTACATGCGGCTGAAATGGGATATCCGTGGCGAATCACTGATTTCCGACCTCTCCTCTTCTAAAGAGCCTCGGTGTATAATCTTTGCTTCTCCAGATTGAGGACTCACAGCTATGATAGTTTGCTCACGTGTCGCAAATGCCTCGGACAAACAACTGCTCCTCGGGAACTCACCAGCAGAAGACCGTTCGACCAAGATTAATATTGTTCAAGGTTACTGAGATACTCTGCTCTACCTCCTGTGCCGAAGCTGGGATGCTGGCATGGGATCGAGTTCTTTGCAAATGCTGTGTGACTCGTCTGCCTCTGAGACCGGAACGGTGCTCGAAATATATTGATTGATTGAAAATATGCAACTGCGATGGATTTTCTAAAGCACAGGGAAAACGCATTCGATAATTGCTTGGTTTTAACGTCAGTATTTTTTTATTTTGCTACGACGACTAGAAAACAGCAACAATTGAAATCTTGGGCTAAGGATGATAAATCTGGTTCAGAAACTACTTAGGCTGTGAAGTCGAAGAATGCGGATGGGAGTTAAAGTTGACAACTGCAGTGCGACACGATCCTGAAGATACTTGAAATTTAAAAATGAACGACCATCACATTTCGACTAGTCTGAAACATGGAACGGAACGCAGTGGGAAACCGGCTGCCCGTGGCGACCAGACGAACGTCTCTCGTACACCAGCTGATGGCAACATCCATTGGACAAACGAATTTAGCATAGAGCTAGTGCTTAGGCCTCATTTGAAGCTGTCCGTTAAATATGAATGCACAAATGAGGTAACACTCATCACTCTGGTGCTGAATATAGAATTCAATCAAAGTATTTGAGGATAGAAACGAACGTTGCTCACGAACTGACTTAATCAGTTAATCGTGAAGACAATTAACCTCAGAGTTCTTGGAGGAAGTAAAATTAAGTTTGCTTCCGTTAACTGATTGACTGAGTCATGTCTGCCTTATTTTCGCAACCCCTATCAGATCTGTGCCATTTATTTTGCTATATGATAACAAGCTAGTTTAAGAACACGGTTCAATCTTTGAGTTTACAGATTTAATGGCAAGACAAGCCAGAAAACGCTATGCAACAAAACCACAAAATATCATATACCGCCAATAATTCGCAATCGACACTCATTTCATTTGTAAAATTCTAGTTGCCATTAGAAATTTTAGAATAGGCCTCCATCTTAGATTATGCCTCAATTTTCTTACCTTCATGGATCCTCATGTTTTGATGGGAGGCTTGAATTCCTTTGAGAGATGTTTTGTCTGAGACTGTGTTCAGCCATGTTTTGTCATCATTTTCCCGCAAATAAGTGCTCACCTGTGTAAGCTGTTTTAATTTAATAACACTTAGAGCATCGTTGACTGACCGTTTCAGACTTCATCACAAACCCCAACAGATACTGTGCCAGCTAAATGGAAACAAGCCCTATCGTCGTTCCGTTCGCCAATCATTCGCTTGCTTTTATCGTTTCCAGCTCCATGGAAAAAGGACGTGAAGTGGGATTTCATGGAGCCTTAAATTACTTGGAGTTGACTCTGGATGAGAGATTTGGACGGGAACAACAGATCATGCAAATTTTTGGAAAGTGTGTCTATAGATTTTAATCTTCCACAGATTGAGAAGTTATGTGCTCATTTGGAAGTGCTGAAAGATTTCAACAGATGCGTTATTCTGCTGCGGTTTCTCCACGTTGTTCTTGCTGTTGCTATTCTGGACTCCGGAGAAAACAATTGGTCAACATCCGGAACCTGTAGAAACTACTTTTCTGTTTCCGCAACTGCATTCGACAAGTTTGCGTCCACAAGAGGTTACTGTATAAAGACAACACGTACTGTAGGCGATTTGAAACACACCGACTAAATTCATTGGCTGTCGCATCGTTCTAACAGGTCTTCTAGAACAGATCTGTATATTTCAGTTTCAGGAGGGAAACAAGGGCTGACCTGTCAGTCGCTCAATTCGTTGTACAATGGTTCATTCTTGCCATGAAAGGGGAACAGTTGTTTTATTCAATATCCATACTTTTATTGCTTGTTCTTACTGCTAATTTGCATTCGTTCATTAGTGTCTGGGTTTTGCAATTTCCGTCCTGCCTTTGGTTTCACTGAACTTGATTGACTGACTACTGTCGACTGGCGAATCATAGATTGAAAAAAATATGATCATTTTATCCACCCTTATGTTCATTTTTTCATTTATTAGCGTAACACTAAATTCACAGAGTGTAACAAACGATGAAAAGTATGCAAATGTCCTATTATGGATCGAATAAAATCTTACACTCGCACTAATTTTGGCAAATTCGTTCAATATAATCAGCAATAACAAAGAACCTTGCTGAACTTGGACTTTATAATGGTTAACACATGAAATGTTATACCAGTACTATTTTCACTCTGTTTCATTACTTCCTCTAATTGGCGGGTAAGGCTTTCAGATTCAAAAATACGAAATTAACCATTTACAATTCCGGGTTTCTTTATAACTGTGTTCTACACAAGCCAAATTACTGCTTTGGCATAGTGTGGCCATGTCAAAGATCAGAGCATGGAAATGCGCAATGTGAGAACGTACTGTAACATGTTATACGCTGAGATGGTACTGTACTAAAAAAGGACCTTATTGATCACTGAAAATGTGAATTCCAGTTTCCCGATCTCCTGCTGTCCTCACAGATGATTATGTCTATGAGATATAGCATAAAGTCTAACCGAGAGATATGGTTTCATCACCATCGTTACAAATATTAAATATAAAGGAAAACGGTCACATTATGAGCAATGACAGTAATATATTTGCAGACACCGAATGCATTTCACCTCAGATTCCAATGAAATATTTACTTAGTGATAGCAGCCAGAATTGCTCAAAGAAAGGAGGTCTATATCCAAAATTCTTCATTTCTTTGTTTAAAGTTTGCATTTGTGCATTCTTTTTTCTACGCAAGAGTAAAAATGAGGAGGCTAGAACTTGTGTGCATTTATAGTTTGATTTAGGTTGAATAGGAGAAATTTTTCAACAATGCGGAATTGAACGAATGTGCAAAGCGAATGTAATTACAGAAACGCCATACAGTTCAGTCATCGTCAATCATAGACTAGAAACGGAAAAGTTTTAGAAACTGAACCTAAGCCCTTGAAAAAATGATAATTGCTTAATATGGCCCTCTGAACCTGAAAGATCGAATCCGTTTTTGAAGGATTAGTTCCACCGGATTGGTTCCTATCGCCTTCACGTGATTTCTTCGCACTCTTCGAAGCCAGAAACATTGGAAACATGCCATTCTGAACGCATGCGTTGACATTTTTTGAAAACAATGGAAGCAGCATGTTTTTAACCGAAACTATAATCTGTTCGAACAGTTTATTAGAAGTTTTCACCATTATAAAACCTAGATTGCATTTGAGTTTTTTGCCTAATGGACGCTTGGTTCAGTGCACGGAAAACTGACGTTGCTACAAGCAGTGGCATACCACGGTGAAGCGCATGTTGACGAATTTAGATTCGTTGTACCCGGCATAAGACTCACACTTTGGAATAACTATTATATTTTCATAAACGCCTTAAGGAATTTCCTGGTTAGGCAGCATCACAAAAATACCTCAAGCGGAAGTCCTTTTGACTGGCAGAATTTTTTCCATCATACTGGTACTCAGTGGCTGTTTCATGTTGTTTTTGAACTATGGACTTGTCGTAAACGTTGCTGGTAGTTTGCTCTCATTTTCGGTTTTGTGGTTGTTTTCACAAAGTTCAATGCTGAATAGCGAAACAGTTTAAAATTTAATATGCGTTATTGCTCTTTTTTCAAGTATATATCCCTCATCTCCTAAACGGTAGCCTAATCTCCGCATTCTGCCCTAGTCCTTCAAACTGAAACAAGTAATAACTACTACGCCTGTGGCGTTTTTGTCAAAAAAAACTTGTATAACTCGTCCTAGAAGCTTGTCAATGCTTCTCATTAGTATTACCTATAAAAAACGATCCGTCTCATCCAATGCAGTTGTTTCTCATCGTTCTATATTCCGGTACCGGATAAAAAATATTTTAGTTTTGATCTTAGACTCAACTTAGAATGAATTCAGTCGTTCCATGTTTGGCTCAGATCATAAACAACGCATCGTCATTAATTGATAAATCGTGAAAAGGGTTTGTAAGTTTTCTTCTAAGTTTTCCTGCCACTTAACCTGCTCTTGTTAGTTGCCCTTTTACATATTTTGTGCTAAAAGATTTGGCCGTGTGCTGCAATTTCAAGCAATAAAATACATTCCCTATTTCAGGCATTTACTAGTGATGGCGGAAAGTAAATCCTGACCTGTGATTTGCGTGAATTCCAAACTCATATCTAGTGATATTGCTGTAGTATTCACATTGGCGTTCTTGTTGCCAATTCTCATTGGGAATATTCTCCATCTCACATGTACGCAAGTGGTTGTTTGGAAACGTAAATTTAAATCACTTGCATATCAAAGCGTCAGTCAAGGAATCGTCAATATCTGTCAAGAGGGCGAAAACAAAGACGCGATATTTACCTGAGATCACGTGCAGGCATTTTTCTTTGCACACTTGTTTTTAGCACTAATTATCCTGCTGCATTTTTCTTGCGATTTTTGGACCTATGTGTATGACTTCTCAGCACTCAAAATGATGAATTATGGAAGCAAGATGATTGACTGGATACAATGACATTTCATAGGCTCTTGTACAGTTCACTTTATGTCGATTATGTTTACTTTTTCCAGTTGTTCATGTTGTCTTGGACATTTGTCAGCATGGGGTCTAAAAAATATCCTTGCAATATCATATTTTTCGCAATGTCTTCATTTTTTCGCACCACATGTATGTGAAGTAGCGGTGTCTTGTTGCTGTATGCTTTACAGAATGATCATCATGTGTTACACGTTCCCACGCTTTTTCGTTAACTTAAAAACTATTTTATGGGTATAATCGAGCAACCAGATCTTCATAGCGACAAAAGCAAAGACGAAACGAAGCGAGAAGCTTTTATGAACACGCTTACGCACACGGGCAACTGCGAACGAAAATTTTTGTCTTAAAAATCTTCATTTTTTGTTATCCTGCGACTGTCTGTCTAAGTGGAGGGTCACGAAGTCTTCTACTTGCTTAATTAACCTGCGTACGAATTTCCATTATGGTTTCGTTATGTGCGACCGATGGTTTTCTCATATCATTATCAAAAATTCTGCAAGAATTAATAGAGCAGAATATTACATTTAAGTTTTACGTTGATGCAAAATGTCGGTACTTTGGAAGCAAGGCTTAGCGAAGCTTCGAATATTAAAGGGTTCACGGAGGCAACAAAGAACATTAGTTAATTTTCAGAAGTTTTTCAGCAGTAGTCAGTGAATATTCGAGGTCGAGTCTAAGTAGTGACAAATTAATGCTGATTATTGGTACTGGTTGCGTTAATTGGTAGTGAAGGTATTGATCAGTAGCCAAGTACGGGTATGTGTGTCAAGTTCAGAGAGACAGTGTTCACCATTCCTGGATCAAATACCGTGTGTTTTGTACGATATGCAGGTTACTGAATCCACCATTCTGATGAAGAAGTGCAATGATACACCTGCGTATGCTGCTTTTTTCAAGAGTCGTGCTTTTATGAAGAAATTTGATCCCGTTATCAATTTTTTAATATGCAGATTGTTCAGAGTGAATTATCTCTATGGTGATGTTTACGCCACTAGAATAAACCCATGAATGCATATGGATTGATTTTTTAAAAGGTACACATGAGTAAAAATTGGACAGTGATGCCTAACCGCGAACTCAAAGAAGTTAAAACAGGACAACATTTTAGATGGAATAAGAATAAAGCAAAGCAAATATAGAACTAATTTGAGCGCAGTCATTCAATCATGGAACGACATAAGCAGAAACCCATTTTCTGATTGCACAGAAAGAAAGTATAATAGTTTCTGTTGAATGTTTAGAATTTATTCTGATTTGCAGTTTCTTTTAAACGTATCTTATGAAAGAATACTGCGAGTATCTACCGTGATCTTCGCCAACGACAAGTTTTGCATAGATGTTATCAAACGTAGGTCGGGATAGTGCACGCCTAAGTCGTTTCAGCGTTGCAAGTGATATGATTGTGATCAAAAACCAGAGGATTCCATCAGTTTTAAAATCGAAGAGAGGCTTTCGGTACCTAGAAACTTGAATTTAAAAAATTCGTTATATATGGTATAGAATCTTCACAGAACAGAACGTACAACCACGCGCAAATAATAATAAATAGGCGGCACGGCGAAATGACCGCGTTAAGAGACGTTTCTTCCGTGAGCTGACCTCTCTCACTGTCGCAGCTGGTCGAAGATGCTACCACTATAGTCCAACGCGCTAAAGGTCGTGAGCAGAATTTATATTATAAAACAGAAAGTACGGCTCTCGGTTATAAAGGGAAGTAACAACAAGCGCAAATATATGAACAGAGATTTGAATCTGACAGGCAATTTGAGCGGCGACTGGGACAAAGTGCCTGAGTCTAAGGAAGTTAATAGACACAGGGATTTTCCAATTGATTTAACTACTAAATCCATATCGAAACAGAGGCAAAGAATTATGACAATAAATGTAGTCACAGCGGACTCAAGTTCAGCAGAGAGCATCACCTATACTTGCGGAACATCAGTATATCACGATTCAAACTTATTACAGCTATGGTAATCAACTCAGTCGTGCTACAGGGCATTCATCCATCTAACCTATACAGACGTCTAACCGCTCCATCCACTCTGAGCCATTCATTGTCCGTCGCTGAATGAAACTGGTAGACTGCAGGGCCGTTTCTTTGCAAGATAAAAGACAATCAGATTATGCCACTTAGAGACCAGGACGTGAAGAAAACAATGATATTCATCGATTAAACGAAATATATTATGAAAGAATGAAGCATTAATATGTATGTATCACAAAACTACAACATGAGATAATAATCTACTTCATTGTGCGAACTTCATCAAGAAAGTCTACTTAACGACACCCAGCGCACTTTGATGACCCGTTGCAACGAAACGCGCTTACGGTCGTCGACGTGCCGTTACTTTTTTTCCAGAGCGGACAGCCGCAACAGGTAGAAAGAGCCTCTCTAAAGTTGACTTCTGAAAGTTTAAAACCGAGGGTATTGCATAAATAATGGTTTGTCAATTCTAATAATGGAGATGGTCTCAGACTTTATTAAACAATCCTGATTATCGGAGAGAAAGGTATTGAAGACTGTAGCGTGTACCGTCAGATCATCTGTAGTGCGACTGTATCAGATGTATGTATGTATGTACTAAGAAAACGAAACGAATGCGTTTGTTGAATATGGTTGGTTTACGTTAAGGACAAAATAAGCCCTTTAGTTTATGCTCTTATTACGTAATTGCATGTATGCGTGGCCGTAGTTGAAGTGTACAGAGGAGATGTGTTTCTGCGGCTCTGTGAGTTCCAGATTGTTTGAGGAGACACGCCTCTTATTTCGAATTGAAAGCTACGTAGGCTGCGTTGTTTTGCAGTTCTTTCGTTTTGTTCTATCTTTGTGGGCAGCTCACTTTCGTGTCATTTTTGGATAGGGATTGATTTGAAGCGGTAATATAAACCTCAGCGCTGTTGTCGAACAAGATCTGAAACATGTCCGGCAATGCAGCGGAATTGATCCAGTATATCGTTGCTTGGTTTCATACTCTATTTTGCATATGCTGTTTTAGACATTGTTTTAAGACAGATTTATTGAAGCCCAATTATTGATTTGAGGCAGTTATGTCAACTGAAAAAATTGATCCCTTTTCAGCCGCGCTGTCTGCGGAACATTCTGAAAGTGCGACGGTTTGTCGAATGAAGAATGAAAGATCTTCAAGGTGACCTGCCTGAGAATGCTGTCTGAAGAAATCAGGGTGTGGTAGCTTTTGCCATGATTTGGCAGGGCACCCAGAGTGAGAAGGAAGATTTATCCAAAACTATTCTTTTCTGGGAAGGAGACTCGTAGGAGACCAGCATCGCACCCTAAACTAGCTGCTAGAGGCGGACTTGCTTGCAATGAGGAACATGACCTAAGCCGGAGCAACCAACATCACCTAAACCCTTCCGAGCAGCAAGAGCGTCAGACATGATTAATCTGGGTATTCGGTTTTTGATCCTGAATACCTCAGATTACCATGACAGCGATAGCACAATTGAAAGTGTGCCAATACCTCCAACGGTCATCGTTGCAATGAGTGATCGCTTAATCATTGAAACCACTAGTACGAAAATTCAAAGGTTTTTCGCATCGTGAATGTGTAGCGAGCCGAGGGTCGAGGGGTGGGGGCGCTGTTGATAATATATGCCATATATTTGAGAAAAACGATTATTAATATGCATGAAAGTTTGTTATTGGTTTTTGAAACGATTCGACTGCTTCAAAAATGTGTGGTATTTAGCTGAGATTTCGATCCGTCACGATGTTTCGGGTTTTCCTTCGTACCGGCCTGAGAAGCGATCCATGGCTTCCACTTTTCTTAAAATATCACTCAACGCTGCGGTCTTTTTCAACCGGTACAAATACAGTCATTTTTTGTTGATTTGATGTTTTTCAATATGTTTGGTCATTCGCAGATAATTTGTACAAGTTTGTGGTTTGTAAGGCGGTTGGCGCCAATAAGGACGTTGCTTTGGTTCAGTTGAACCGACCAAAAGCATTGAACTCGTTGAGCACCGAGTTAATCACAGAGGCAAGTAAAATTTGATCTGTTTCTCGTTTAAAGAGCTAATTATAATTTTTTCTCTTCAGCTGATATCGGTGTTGAAGAAGTGCGACGCTGACGATGGCATCGGAGCTATGGTACTGACTGGTTCAAAGAAAGCTTTTGCTGGTATATTTTTGGTCTAACTACTTTTATCCTTGAAGTGGCTATTTAGTGCTGTTTTTGGAGGCGGATTTTTTTTCTAGCTGGTGCTGATGTGAAGGAGATGAGCGGCATGGACTACGCAACTCTGGTTAAAAAGAACTTCATTGCCGAATGGGAAGAAATCTCTCGCATAAGAAAGCCAGTGATCGCGGCCGTAAACGGATATGCGGTAAATTGAGCAACTTCACTGCCATACTTATCAGCCAAAAGGGCTTGTATTGAAAACGAATGAATAAGTAAGCAGATAAATTAAATGAATGAAAAACGGAATGAACGAACAGTTGGAGAAAGGAAAACAATCAGGCAAGCAGGAACTGCATGATATCTTCAATAAATGAACGAATTAGTAGACATATTAATCACTGAATAAATCAAAAAAATATATAGCTAATTATACAAAATAAAATCTTCTGCTTGTGAACGTGGCAGGAAGCAGCAGATAACCGTCATTGAAGAAAGACTGAAAATCGAAGAATGGATGTTCTTACAATGGCGCATATTTAATAGCGCTTAATTGGATTGAGACCCAATTTCAGGATGTATTGCGCGGTCCTCTAGTTTACCGTAATTGTCCACATTAGCATCGGATTTAAGATTCATGAATTGCCATTTACGAGAAGCAGGGTATTCCGCTAACCAGCATAATCACTAGATGCGTCTGACAGTACAGGTGTTCAAGAGCCGTGGAGCTGTAGGCAACTTAAATGCCCCTATGGAGCGAACAGCAGTTGGGCCATGCAGTGATAGGTGGCATTCTTTTTTGGAGGAGGTAGGCGGTTGTTAACAGATTCTGAAATACAAATCTATATTCATCTTCATCTTCCATCGCCGCTTCTCCTTTCGGGTCGCGCAGGCAGACGCGTCAGAGAGTGCTTCCAACGTTCCCGATCCTGTGCCAGAGTCTGAGCTTCGGCAAAAGAC